ATAAGGGGGGATATGATCTCCATGTATAATACATAAGGGGGATATGATCTCCATGTATAATACATAAGGGGGATATGATCTCCATGTATAATACATAAGGGGGGATATGATCATCATGTATAATACATAAGGGGGGGATATGATCTCCATGTATAATACATAAGGGGGGATATGATCTCCATGTATAATACATAAGGGGGATATGATCTCCATGTATAATACATAAGGGGGATATGATCTCCATGTATAATACATAAGGGGGGATATGATATGATTGCCATGTATAATACATAGGGGGGGGGGGGGGGGATATGATCACCATGTATAATACATAAGGGAGGATATGATCATCATGTATAATACATAAGGGGGGATATGATCTCCATGTATAATACATAAGGGGGGATATGATCATCATGTATAATACATAAGGGGGGATATGATCTCCATGTATAATACATAAGGGGGGATATGATCTCCATGTATAATACATAAGGGGGGGATATGATCTCCATGTATAATACATAAGGGGGGATATGATCATCATGTATAATACATAAGGGGGGGATATGATCTCCATGTATAATACATAAGGGGGGATATGATCTCCATGTATAATACATAAGGGGGATATGATCTCCATGTATAATACATAAGGGGGATATGATCTCCATGTATAATACATAAGGGGGGATATGATATGATTGCCATGTATAATACATAAGGGGGGGGGATATGATCACCATGTATAATACATAAGGGAGGATATGATCATCATGTATAATACATAAGGGGGGGATATGATCTCCATGTATAATACATAAGGGGGGATATGATCATCATGTATAATACATAAGGGGGGATATGATCTCCATGTATAATACATAAGGGGGGATATGATCACCATGTATAATACATAAGGGAGGATATGATCATCATGTATAATACATAAGGGGGGGATATGATCTCCATGTATAATACATAAGGGGGGATATGATCTCCATGTATAATACATAAGGGGGGATATGATCTCCATGTATAATACATAAGGGGGGATATGATCTCCATGTAAATACATAAAGGGGGGATATGATCTCCATGTATAAATACATAAGGGGGGATATGATCTCCATGTATAAATACATAAGGGGGGATATGATTGCCATGTATAATACATAAGGGGGGATATGATCACCATGTATAATACATAAGGGGGGGATATGATCTCCATGTATAATACATAAGGGGGGATATGATCTCCATGCATAATACATAAGGGGGGATATGATCACCATGTATAATAAATAAGGGGGGGTATGATCTCCATGTATAATACATAAGGGGGGATATGATCTCCATGTATAATGCGTAAGGGGGGATATGATCTCCATGTACAATACATAAAAAGGGGGGATATGATCTCCATGTATAAATACATAAGGGGGATATGATCTCCATGTATAAATACATAAGGGGGGATCCATGTATAAATACATAAGGGGGATATGATATGATTGCCATGTATAATACATAAGGGGGGGATATGATCACCAAGTAAAATACATAAGGGGGGATATGTTCTCCATGTATAATACATAAGGGGGGATATGATCTCCATGTATAATACATAAGGGGGGATATGATCTCCATGTATAATACATAAGGGGGATATGATCACCATGTATAATACATAAGGGGGGATATGATCTCCATGTATAATACATAAGGGGGGATATGATCACCATGTATAATACATAAGGGGGGATATGATCTCCATGTATAATACATAAGGGGGGATATGATCTCCATGTATAATACATAAGGGGGATATGATCTCCATGCATAATACATAAGGGGGGGATATGATCTCCATGTATAATACATAAGGGGGATATGATCTCCATGTATAATACATAAGGGGGGATATGATCTCCATGTACAATAAATAAAGGGGGGATATGATCTCCATGTATAAATACATAAGGGGGATATGATCTCCATGTATAAATACATAAGGGGGATATGATTGCCATGTATAATACATAAGGGGGGGATATGATCACCATGTATAATACATAAGGGGGGATATGATCATCATGTATAATACATAAGGGGGGATATGATCTCCATGCATAATACATAAGGAGGGGATATGATCACCATGTATATAAATAAGGGGGGGGTATGATCTCCATGTATAATACATAAGGGGGGATATGATCTCCATGTATAATGCGTAAGGGGGGATATGATCTCCATGTACAATACATAAAGGGGGGATATGATCTCCATGTATAAATACATAAGGGGGATATGATCTCCATGTATAAATACATAAGGGGGATATGATATGATTGCCATGTATAATACATAAGGGGGGGATATGATCACCAAGTAAAATACATAAGGGGGGATATGTTCTCCATGTATAATACATAAGGGGGGATATGATCTCCATGTATAATACATAAGGGGGGATATGATCTCCATGTATAATACATAAGGGGGGATATGATCACCATGTATAATACATAAGGGGGGATATGATCTCCATGTATAATACATAAGGGGGGATATGATCACCATGTATAATACATAAGGGGGGATATGATCTCCATGTATAATACATAAGGGGGGATATGATCTCCATGTATAATACATAAGGGGGATATGATCTCCATGCATAATACATAAGGGGGGATATGATCTCCATGTATAATACATAAGGGGGGATATGATCTCCATGTATAATACATAAGGGGGGATATGATCTCCGTGTATAATACATAAGGGGGGATATGATCTCCGTGTATAAATACATCAGTGGTTCATATAGTGAACTCGGTGTAGAGTTATTTACTCTGAGGTCATCACAGAGGACAAGGGGACACTCTTTACGTCTGGAGGAAAAGAAATTTAATCTCCAAACACGGAAAGGTTTCTTCACAGTGAAAGCTGTGAAAATGTGGAATAGACTCTCTCAAGAGTTGGTTCTGGCCAGCTCAGTGGATTGCTTTAAAAATGTCCTGGATTCTTTCTTAGATACACAGAATATAACTGGATATAACATTTATAGGTGAAGTTGATCCAGGGAATATCCGATTGCCTCTCAGGAGATCAGGAAGGAATGTTTTCCCTGCAGGAGCAAAGTGGATCATGCTTTGCTGGGGTTTTTTTGCCTTCCTCTGGATCAACTGTGGGTGTAGGATTATAACTTTTTTTATTACTGGTTGAACTGGATGGACTTTTGTCTTATTTTCAGCCAGACTAACTATGTAACTATGGAACATTGTGCAATCAGATTGTAACGCATATAGTCACTCTTAAGGCCTAACTACATCCACTTATTAAACGTTTTTTGCTTAGTTCAAAATTTTATTTCTGTACACGTCCCCAATGGGTAAAGATTTTCCATCATGTGATACCCCTACAAGAAATGAGAGGTGTAGGTCCTACTGAGACACCATGGACAGCAATAAAAACATTGGGGCTCATTTACATCAGTATTGCCCTCTAAAGAACAATTTGTGGTGAATCACTCTTCAGAGGGCAGGTGGATGGAAAGCAATATGTCACCTACTCACTGCTTGTTTTAACTATGTAAAGCCCTCACTATCATGAGGTCTATCACTATCATATGCTACAACAATATGAGGTTGCAAGGTGGTTGTGGCGCAGTCCTATTCACTTTTTCAGGTGTATTCAGGCTTGAGCATTTTAGTTTTAGGCAGTGGAAAGATAGTTACCAGGAGGAGGAGGGGTTAGCTATTTAGAGAAAATGCTCATTTTTAGGCTTTTGTAAGGTGCTCCTTTTAAAGTATATGGGGCCAAAAAGACTCCATTCTGCTTTAAAATTAGCTCATGTACCTTTCTGAGCTTCAGGTGTCAAGCTACAGGCACCTCAATGCTTATTTGTGAACAGGCATGGTTTAAAGTGGTTGTAAAGCCTTCCACATACCCCGTGAACTGACTGGCCTCAGGTGATACAGAGATGAAACAAATCTTCCTACATAAGTTGTACTTGTTTATCTGCAGACATCTGTTCTCTTCAGCCATTTAAAGTCCATCATTTATATAGCTTGTCTGAGAGTTCCGAAAAAAAGTGGGGAAAGAACAGAAGTTACACACAGCAGAGCTCAGTGTGGAGAGCTGGAAGAGCTGATTGGATGGAAGAGACACCCCCCCCCTCTTCACACAGCACAAAGAAACAGAGCTGAGGCTGTCAATCACAGGATGTGTGCTGGAGGTTCCTCCCCTGTCACCTTTTTTCTCTTGGTGGCAGGAAAACTTATCAGAAGTGACTCATGGTAATAGCAAAGGAATGAAGCAGCAGACAGAAATGACACTTAGTGCTCTTAACTGAGACAAGTACACACTATAGAGGGATTTGCTTTATTCATATTTAATGACTGAGGTTTAAAAACACTTTAAAAGCATGAGATTTTTGTTATTGAGTGTTTTTTGAGCTTTAACCTCCCTAGTGGTCTGATTATGTCCATATTTCTGTGCTCAAAGTGGTACATTTTTTTGCATGGAAATATATATTTTTTTTATTGTAGGCCTGTAATTCTTAGGAATAACTCACTAAAATCTGTCCGAACAAGAGTCTAGTAAACATCCCGGGTATGATAAAATTTCAAACACGAAATCGTAAATTATAATAAATAATCATAAAAAAAATAATAATATAATAATAATACATTGAATTCAATAATATAATCAAACCAAAAACACTGAAATTTGAAATAGAGCGCCAAGTTCGCACATCACTGAGCAAAGTCGCAGAATCGTTTTCAGTGTCTGATGACGAATTTCCCCCACGAATCATTATCACTCAATTCTGCAAGTGGTTCTAATTTACTATCGCTGTTCTCTAGCCGGTCTAAAACCGCTTTTGAGATAAAGGGACGCTTTTTGGACGCCATGGACATTTCTCAGTTTCCAGGCAGAAAGAACAGTAAACATGCAGGCAGGGCGCAGGACAAAGCACTCGGGACAAAATGTATGTGAAATGGTTTGATACAGTAATGTTAAACTATCAGATTTTAGTGTATTTAGTGAATGTCACTTTTTGTCATTTTCAAATTTCCCGCTGTTCCGTCCCCGTACGTCCCGACACTCGCAGGGGACGGAACCTAGATGACAGATGCCGGCATCCGTCGGAGGACATTACAGGGGACACTGCAGGAGAGACATTGCGGGAGCGCAGGACAAGGTAAGTGATCGAGGGATCCCGGAGCAGCGCCGCATGGTAACCCCGAGTGTAGCTCGGGGTTACCGCTTGTGGTACTGAAACTTTACCCCGAGCTACACTCGGGAATACCGCCAGGGAGGTTACACTACAAAATGGTAATTTTATGAAACAGGGCTAAATGTTTCCCAGTTCTGCTAAAAATGTGATTTGGTAGAATCTCCTCCATCATTTCACTTCCCATTTGTGTAAATCCAACTTTACTGTGCTCCTACAAAGGCCTCCTGTTTTTAGCTCCTTTGACACCTTCTGTAATCCTCGCCTTCAGGACTTCTTCAGAGCCTCTCCCATCCTCTGGAACTACCTTCCCCAATCTGTCTGGTTATCTCCTACTCTGTGCTACACTGTCCTTGAAGACTCAAATCTCCATGGAAGTCTATCCAGCCTCCACCTAAAAACTGTACTTCGACCATCTCCCATCAGCTCACCCTTCACAGCTATTAACTTTGCAACTTCCCTTTCCCTTTTTGATTGTAAGCTCCATGCACAAGTCCTTCCTAATCCTCTTTTATTGAATTGTATTGTAATTGTGCTGTCTCTCTTTATTTTGCAAGATTTTGCTCCAACTATTGGTGCTGTATAAATTCTATATAATAATACTTACATTTTTTCAGTCTCTCATGCAGACGAGCACTCACATTTTTTCTTCGCAACTGTCACCAAACGTTCTACCCACCCATTCTACTACGTGACCAGGTCCATTGATGACATCACGCTGTACCGGTACGACAGTGACAATCAGGTGATAGAGCGCAGGGTGCCCTGGTTTAAGACCACCTATTCCACCTTAATGGATGCCAGTATTAGTGAGTTAAAGTTCCAGCAGAAGCTGCAAATTTTGTTCCAGAACATTACGGATCATATGAATGATACTAAAGGTGAGTGAACCTTTTTTTTTTTGTTTTGTACAGACTACATTGTGTAGCACCCTAATAGAATAGGTTGCTAGAGAGGTTCAGAAAAATGTAGTTTTTAGCTTCTCCGTAATCATTGGAGGGGTGTGCGATTATGTTTGGCTGTTCTGTGTCTCACTGGCTGCGGACTCGACTACTTCTCCCTGCCTTCTAGTGGATTCTAGAATGTAGTGGGTTGGATGAGGCAGACCCTAGACTTGAATATTCATATGGTCTCAGCCAATCTCTGGGGGGAGGAGGATGCCCAGTAGATGGCTGAGCAGTGCATAAATAGTCTGGGGCTTGGAGCAGCAGGGTCCTTGTCCAGGAGGAGAAGACCTAGCCGTAAGGGCTCGACTACTTCCCCCTGCCTTCTAGTGCATTCTAAAATATAGTGGATTGGATGAGGCAGACCCTGGACTTGAATATTCATACGGTCTCAGTAAAATCCCTGGGGGAGAGGATGCTCAGTAGATGGCTGAGGAGTGCATAAATAGTCTGGGGCCTAGAGCAGCAGGGTCCTTGTCCAGGAGGAGAAGAACTAGCCACAAGGGCTCAACTACTTCCCCCTGCCTTCTAGTGGATTCTAGAATGTAGTGGATTGGATGAGGCAGACCCTGGACTTGAATATTCATATGGTCTCAGCCAATCCCTGGGGGAGAGGATGCCCAGTAGATGGCTGAGGAGTGCATAAATAGTCTGGGGCCTAGAGCAGCAGGGTCCTTGTCCAGGAGGAGAAGACCTAGCTGCAAGGGCTCGACTACTTCCCCCTGCCTTCTAGTGGATTCTAGAATGTAGTGGGTTGGATGAGGCAGACCCTGGACGAGAATATTCATATGGGGTCTCAGCCAATCCCTGGGGGAGAGGATGGCCAGCAAATGACTGATGAGTGCGTAAATAGTCTGGGACCTGGAGCAGCAGGATCCTTGTCCAGGAAGAGAAGAACTAGTGGCAAGGGCTCAACTACTTCCCCCTGCCTTCTAGTGGATTCTAGAATGTAGTGGGTTGGATGGGGCAGACCCTGGACTTGAATATTCATATGGTTTCAGTCAATCCCTGGGGAAGAGGATGCCCAGTAGATGGCTGAGGAGTGCATAAATAGTCTGGGGCCTGGAGCAGCAGGGTCCTTGTCCAGTAGGAGAAGACCTAGTCGCAAGTCAGCAAGAGTTCATTGAGGTCCCAACTCAGTGAGAATGGGGGAGGGGGCGACTTTCTGAGAGGAGATGGGGCTAAATTAAAGGGGGTTCACTGAAGATCTGACTTGGAAGTTCACAGGAGAAGTGTCAATATTGGATGGAGGTATCCAAGTACACAGGGACATTGTGAGTATAGACCTGAGTGTAAATGATCCTAGTGATTGTTTGCTGCTCTAACCCTTTGAGCATCAGCTCTAGTGCTGTAGAATTGGGACTGTCCCTTTGCTTGAAGTCCCTGATTTTCTTGTTCCCCTGCTGTCAATGAAGAGGAGGATTAGCCTGAAGAGTATAGTCAAGTCAGAGAGTGTCCTAACTGTGCACTAAATTTGGAGTTTTCCAAAGCTCACCCTGCAATCCAACCCCAACCAAGTTCAACGAGAATTAAATGACCTAAAAAGACATTCCCTGCCTGGCCACTGAGCTGTAAGACTGTCCGTGCTGCTGTGTGCCTGGCTGACTTTACATCCAGAGAAGAGAATGGAGGACAAAACTGCAATGTCCATCAGGGGTCTGCACCACAATTAGAACATTAACAGGATTATGTAAATAATATGATCATTGTTGGTTAGTTTTTATAAAGCAAACATATTGTGAATGAATTTTTTTTAAAGTGTATTCATTACTGTTCAAATTCTTTTTAATATGTTTATTTAAAATATGTAAAATATTTGCTTTATACAAAACTTTTAGGACACGACTTAGAAGTTACATAGGGTTTGAGGGATGGAACCACAGTGCAAAGCATGGGAGACGCTTCCAGACATGTCAAATTCTGAGGAACCTGAAGCTGGCCATACATTGCTTTGTTTTTTTTTTTTCTGTTTAGCTGAATGGAAAAACTGAACTGATTCCCCCATCCACTCATTCGATGTGGATGAAGCAATCCTCTCCGTTGTGTCATTGTACTCTGAGCCCGGGTTCACACTGATGCGGTGCGGAATTTGCACTGGTTTCTGTGCGATTTCCGCACCACGTCATAATTACACCTCATTCATATGAGCCACTGCGGGTGTGTATTTTACGTTAACAACACCCCAAAATCAGTTCGCAAATTGCAATTTGATGTGCAGAATTGGATTGCATGATTGCACCCATGCAATCTGATTCTGGTGCGGACTAAAAAAGGCTCCTGCACATTTTTGGTGCAGATGCGGTGCGATTTGAACCATACAAAATGTATAGATCAAATTGCACCGCACAAAAATCACATGTGATTTGCACAGGAATGCAGTGAGGTTCCCATGTGAATCACATGCAACGTGTCGCACTGCATCAGTGTGAACCCAGGCTGACAGCGGGACTCCCCACATTTAATAGATCGATTTTTCATGAACAAGTACTGCCATAGATGGAGCAAAATTCAACTGGATCCTGCTGAACTGGACGAATTTCAATCCATGTACGGCCTGTGTTGACTGGCTTTTGTTAATGTCAGACAGGCATACAAATCTATGGGAATGCAAAATCCACTTGAAGCAGGTCAAACGCAGGTCAGAAGGAGGTCAACCAGTGGTGTATTTAGGTTTTGTGCTGCCTTAGGCAACACAAAAATTGTCTGCATTCATGGACACCGACCAACACAACCCCCCTTCCCCCTCCAGTGGAGAGAGCCTGACATTGACCAACAACACCCCTGCCCCCCACCCGGGAAAGTCTTCCACTAACCCCCCCCACCCCCGGCAATAGAGAGACACTCATCTCCACAGCTCTGGTCATCCCCGGGAAGGGAACGAGAGCCAGGCTCTACATGATGATACACCATCAAGCAGCCCGTAGCCTCTCTCGGATCTCACCTGGTTCCCATGGTGCACGTGTCCCTTCTTTCATCTCTTCTTCTGGGGGAGGTGTTGCCCCCCTTGAAAAATGCTGCCCTAGGCAAGTGCCTTTTTTGCCTTGTGGTACATACGCCCTGAGGTCAACTGCAGGTGAAATGCACCTATCAATACATTCTAAACAATCTCCAAATTATCTAAAATTGATATTAAACTGATGCCAACACAAGTCCAATGCCTGTGGACACAGACCCTTACAGGACTGGAACAGAGGGAAGGTAGGAGATGTGGGGTGTGGAAACTTCCAAAATGATTTCATTTTCATTATAATTAAAGTTTTTGCATACAACCGTAAATAAAATGCAATTCAAAGCACTTTTTTTGTGTCTATGGATCTGAATGCAGGTGTATTATTTTCAATGGAGATATGCACACTGGTGCGTAAATATTCTCTGCATTCAGATCCATAACTAAAAAATGAAAAATGAGTTATACGTGTTTACATGCATTTTACGCACATATGCATGTAAACACGTATATACAGTATGTATATACTGTACATAGATGAAAAAGTGGATTCTGGGAATGAAAACAAAGCAGGAGGATATAGAGCTAGAAATGTACACATTTAAATCCATGCATGTCTTTACGCGTTTAAGTGCATCTAAATGCAAGTATTTTACTGAATATGTATGCAGGAACTTTGTGCCAGAAAACTTTGCCTGTATGATCGGTAAAATGAATACAGATATGAGCACATAGCGTAAGACTATTGTTCTTCTTTAAATTGTAACCAATGATAGAACAGAAGCACTCCGATAATGAATGGGGGGGGGGGCGGAGGGGGCTACGGATGAGTTCGAAGAAACATAGGGCTCATTCAGATGGGCACCAAAGTCTGCAGTATGTAAAAGCCATGTTCTTAATGTGTTTTGGGAACCATGAAGTTGTGTGCAGGCAACCTATGTTAGGCAATGGAGATGCAGCAACTGTATGGTCTACAGGGACAGTTGTAGATCCCCAAGTAGACAGTGTGCGTTCAGAGCTCTGCACCCATGCCGGCATACCTGCACACAATTCCATGGTGCTCCGGGCTCATAAAAAACATGTCTCAGGCTTTGGCGCCCACGTGAATGAGCCCTAATACTGACATGTTTCCAGCACAGAAGCCAGCCAATAGTTTGAGAGGAGTTAGGGAATAGCAGCAGGCATGCATGGGAGTCTCAAACTCAGGTCTTACTCACAATGTCCCAGGAGCTGTCTGCCACCCAACTTCCACTTGGCACTCTCCAGTGAGGGAGAAAAACAAAAGGTTCCATCTCCAGACTAGGACCCCAAAAGCAATGCCCTCCAGGAGACCTTCAGCAATCTTCTTTAGGCCCCCCAGTCCCAATGCCAGCTGAGGTCCAAACTGCAACTCTCACAATAGTAGCCCCAAGAGAAGAGGAACTCTCCTAAGAAAGCACAAGTCTGTATAGTCCTCCACAAATATGTATCATCTTCCACAACCAACTTTTGGATCTTCCCATCCTAGAGATCGGCTGAGATCTTATAAATATTCATAACTCAGTGACTGATCCTCTTACTCTATATTATGCAGGGGCAATCAAACACCCAGCTTAGACCAAAGAATCAGATCACCACTCCATTGACTACACTGAAACCAAAAACTAAATTTAGGCTAACTTTTGGCAGGGTGCTACATCAGGTTACATGCTACTGGTTTATTCAGGCAGCATTAACACCTGAGTGTTCTGGAAGTACAAAAACGTAGCGTGAAAACGTGCACAAAAAACGCACACAAAAAACTTTTTTTCATGAGATGCTAGGTGTAGACCTCGCCTTAGTGCTTGCCTTCCCTACAGTGCAGATCTGTTCAATGCAGCATAAAGAAGTAAATAATTATTTTTATTTGTAGTAAACCTGCATGCATCCTGTTCACTCTCAGGTTTTTGATCCGATAAAATTACAAGTCAAGGCTTCCCACACAGTCATACTAATGCTAGAAAGTAAAAACGTAAAAAGTAAAACTGTTTTCTGTGATTTCAGGGTTCCCTGTTTTGCAGTTGTTGAGTGGCTGTGTCCTCTACAACACTACATTTAAAACAACACACAGTTTTCACTATGACGGGCGACCATTCTTAAACTTTAACATGAAGGAAATGAAATGGACAGCGGAGGATGCAAAAGCGGACATCTTTGCTTACGATTTAAATATGAATAAGATTGAGATGGAAGAAATAAAGAATACTGTGGAAAATGGCTGCAAACCACAGATTTCTGAGCTGCTGTCACAGGGGGACTGCACCTTTAACAGGACAGGTACTGCCTATTAACTTCACACAGTATGTAATATACATTTTTGACTCATTAAAGATCTGTTATAATATTTTTCATTTTACAGTTCTGTCCCCAATGGGACAAAGTACAGGTACTGTAGTACTTTGTTCCATGTTTGTAAGTGCTTTCTAACCCTAGTTATGAGGTCTGATCTGCCCCATTCTGTCCTGCTGATCCAACAACAGCAATAAAGGAGACGGCTGATTCATAGCTGCACCTTGTCTCGGCTTTGAGTACTTTTCCTGAGACAAGTAATGGCAAGAGGAATGCAGAGGGAGAGGGACGTGTCAGTAATTCAAAAACTGAAAATGTATTTTTCATTATTTGCTTATTAAACACTGTATTTAAATATATATTTTTTATTTTTATAGATTTTAAATAGATTTCATTTAAAGGCTTACAGTTACAGTCTAAACAAGCCCCAAATCCATGTATTATGTGATGCAGAAGTCTCATACAGTCCACCGAAAACTTCCTTGACCTTCCTTGACTGATCCATAGCCTCCTTCATTTGTGTTTCAAATGCTTCACCTCCCAGACACTGCAGCTCACAGTGGAAGGTTTTCATCAACAGAGGCCGTGCTGTCAATCCAGAAAGCAGTGGGCAGGAATGGGCATGGCAAACTGCTGATTGACAAGCTACATGCTTGTGAATCAGCAGTGACAATGCTAATAACCATTCCAGCTGCAACATTGTCTTATCCCACTGCTGTGCAAGCAGGTAGAGCCTACATGAGAGTGGCAGCTCTGCTCTGAATTCAGGAGTAATGCAGCATTGTTGCCACCCTATCACAGGAAGATGCAGTAGGTGGCCTTCACTACAGGCTCCAGGGTATTTGTGGGACCTTGCATGGAGGACTAAGGAAAAACTGTAAATGCTGAGGGACTAGGGTTTTAGTGCTGAAAGACATCTATTTTTATGTTGGAGGCTATAATTATACTTCAAGAGGTGCTTATGACAATTCCTGCAATGTATGCCTGTATACGTTAAATTGACATTCAGCGCCCTCTTGTGTAAATAGTTTGTGAGTGTACTTAGAAGCTTGCTAGAAGTCTGGGTGTGAGTCAAAGGGTTTACTTTAGGTCACGTTGGAGGGCTCTACAGGTCAGTCCTCTGGTACTCCCCTGTTCTGGAAGCTTGGAGAAGTTTCTAGAATCAAGTGAGTGGAGGCCACGAGGAGCTGATCTGCATATTCATGGTAGTCTGACCAATCCCGGGCAGGAGGCCTGGCAGTGTGGCAGACTGAACCATAAATATGAGAGCACTGGACCAACAGGGGAATTGGGTGGAAGATGGAGTGCTGAGAAGTCCTGTTGTGTAGCCTGGAAGGGGGGTACTGCCTCCAGGCTGGAGTTCAGAGAGATGGGAGAAGGAAGCTAATGGAGGGAGTCTACTGAGGATGGACAGCCTGTTAGCCTGGAAGTAAACCTGCCCAGCAAAAGTCCTGAAAGCAGTTTTTTTCCAAAGCTACAGCACGCAAGGACAGTGTGAGTACCTCTACACTCCCGGGGCCTACAGGAAAGAAGACTACTAGGTGCTATACCCAACCAGTTCTCCATTGGGCAGTGCTGCAAGCCTGTACTAGAATCTCTTGCTCTGGGATACTCTTCAAAAGACAACTAGGTGGATGGGTAGTTTCTAGCTAGGGTCTGAAGACGTTTGCTTTGAAGGGATCAAGAGCTCCACACAGAGACTTTGTAAATGGTCCGTGAAGAGACTGATGCCAATCTGGAGGGAGTAAAAAGTCCAAGATCATATATTTTGTGAAAGTTACCCTGAGAATGAATAGTTTCAGGTCAAGCTGGGCATCCCATATACCCCTAGACCCTATCCAAGTTGTTTACCCCTAAATAAAACAACAAAAACAAGCCCATGGACTGGTTACTGACTGAGTGAAAGTTGGCAAATGTGTGTTCCCTGGCTGTGCAGGAAAATAGGGGGACCCAAAACCAGTGGCTCTCAAGTGGGTAGCGCTGCAGACAAATTCCCACTGTCATGGTATGCCCCACTCAGTATGATAGATACGTTGTGCCTGGTTTTCTTCAGCGAACCCCAACTGCGACCACTTGTTACCAACCTTTGGCTTGTTTACTGACTACTCTTCTGCTTGATCCCTACCAGGAGCAGACTGACCATTTGGAAACTTGGGCACTGCCCAAGGGCCCGAGGTCAGTAGGGGGCCCCATGAGATGCCCCTGGTACCTTTTTCATAGGCTTTTTTGAGTTTGTGCAAGGACAAAGGGGCCCTATGATCCCCTATTGCCCGGGGGCCCCATGAGTTGTCAGTCAGCCCCTGATCCCTACTTGCTATATCTGCTACTGGACCCTGTCTTGATCCCCTCCTGGTGGGGCAATCCTGAGAACCACGATCTGGTACTAGAACACAGCAAAACCCATCTCCACCATCAGCTCTGATAAACACTGGTTAGTGCTTGCTCTCCGCACCTCGAGTGAGCCTATGTCATCTGCCAGGGTGTCCTGCTGCTACCTGTATCCAGCTGGTCAGTGGAAGCCTCTCTACTGCTTAGCTACTGGTCTCCAAGCCTGACCCCTGACCATGACAGCCGAGCTGTATGAAACAGAAACAAAACTCAGATTCTAAGATGCAGCTGGAGCATACCCTGGCTTGTGATAGTAAGCTGTGCTGTCAGACAGCACAATGTAGTGGAGTCAGGGACAACCACTCCACTGAGAAATTCAGTAGAGCAGAAGTCTCCAAACAATTTAAACAAAGAGCGAGTTTATGGTCCGTCAGAGTTTAGGGGGGCTGGGCTATGGCCAAGGGGAGTGAATAATGCCCCAGCATCAAAGGGAGTAAACAGTGCCTCAGACTTGGTGGCCAAGGGAGGAAAAAACATTACACATGACCTGTGGTCAGTGAGAGGAGAAATAGCCCCCTATTTTTAGGAGTAGGAATTATGCTCCATCATTGGGGTCAGTGGGAGAAATAAGGCCTCTTTATTGGTGTCAGTGGGAGGAATTGTGCCTCATTGTTGGTGTCAGCAGACGGAATAGTGTCCCATCATTGGTGTTAGTGGAAGCAATAGTGCGCCATTGTTGGTGTCAGTGTCAAGAATTATGCCCCAGTGCTGGTGTCATTGGATGAAATACAGCCCCAACGTTGGTATCAATGGAAGGAAGAGTGCCCCAAGGGTTGGATACAGGCAAACAGAAGGCCACATCTAGTCTGCAGGTCACAGTTTTTGAGATAACTGTGATATGGCCCCTTTTGACATGACAATGTCTCTTCTTTAAATACAGACTAGCCACACTTTTGTTTATGTTATCTTTGTTCAGTTTTATGTTTGTTCTAAAACTCACTTTCTCTGTTTAGTATCCTATGTGTTAGTAATGGTAATTCTCTAATACAAACTGATGCATTTTCCATGTGGCCTGTGCTGCCACTATATAGAAAATAATTATCTGTATAAGTAATCCATTTCTGTTTAACACAATAAACTAGAAATGCAAGTGAGCAACACGTGTTTTGTGTTCTCCTCTTTGTTCCTGATCGCCTGCTCACCACAGGCCCGCCACTACTGACTAAGTAATCCACCACAGATCACAAGTCAGCAGTCATGCTGTCTTCACACACTACTTCAGAATTTTGTCAGCAGAGCCATTCTCCAATATCTCAAAACTGGAATAAGAAAGGCTTGTTTAGATTTTGAGGAACTTGTAATTCAGTCATTTTCTACAGGCAACAGAATATGCAGGGGCGGACTGACCATTTGGAAACTCGGGCACTGCCCGAGGGCTCGGGGTCAGTAGGGGGCCCCATGAGATACCCCTGGTACCTTTTTCATAGGCTTTTTTGAGTTTGGGCAAGGACACAGGGGCCCCATGATCCCCTACTGCCCGAGGGCCCCATGAGTTGTCAGTCCGCCCTTGAGAATATGTATGAGATTTGAAAATTGTATTTGCTCAAGGCTTGCTGAGACAATAATTATTTGACTTTATGAAGATTGGATTAAACTAAGATGATGTACATGACTGTATGAACCAAAACAGTTCAATCAATTCAGACATCATTGATTTAAAAAAAAGACAATTTTGCTTGAAATTTCAAATCATTCTAATAGTATATGGCAGTGATCTCCAGACTAGTGCTCAAGGGCCAAATGTGGCCCTTTGCTTGCCATTATCTGGCCCTGTGCACATTGTTCTTCCCATTGATATGAGGCACTATTCCTCCCACTTACACCATTAATGAGGCACCATTCCTTACACTGACAGCAAAGATGGGGCACTATTCCTCCCACTGACACCAAAGATGGGGCACTATTCCTTCCACTGATATAAACGATTGGGCACAATTGCTCCCACTGATATACAGTAATTGATTGGTTATTGTTCATCCAACTGACACCAACAATGGGCCCTATTCCTTCCACTAATACCATTGATAGGGCACTATTCCTCCACCTACTGGGCAATATGTAATTTTTTAATCCCACTGACCACCAAACCTGAGACATTGTCTATTCCTACTGACACTGAAGCATTTTCTACTCCCACTGGCTACAGCTCAGCCCCCTAAAGTCTGAAGTAAACTGCCCCTTTGTTTAGAACTTTTGGAGCCCACTGGTATATGGTATGTGGCAGACCAGCTCCTACACTGATTTCACATCATTTCCAGTGCCCATCAGTCTCTTTGATTTGCATTGATAATTTCTGTTACCCAGTTGCAGAGATTGATTTTCTATCATGGTAGAAAACTAGTATGTTAAAGGAGAAGTGGGGGGGATTGTAAAAGATTAAACATTCATACAGTATTTGTCTACCTGATGTAGCATCGGTCTAATGCTGTATCTGCCCCCTGCCACCTCTAAGCCTGAGAAGCGGGTGATAACATGACTGTTCTTGGGTGTACTCTGAGCAGAGAGCGGTGACTGTCAATCCCCCCCACTGTCTGCTCTGCACCTCCAGTGCTCACTGGAATGATGGGCTGTGCAGCAGAAGTGCTAGCTCAATGAGAAGCTGAGCCAGCTGCTGGACAGGAATCTTGAATGATCCTGACATTACTGTCGGGATCCTGTTAGAGACTGAGGCGGGTCTGTGATGTTAACTGACAGTGGACTTAGCACGATGTTGGCTGAATCTATGTTACAGGAGTGCAAAGGTAAGTGACCCAAATGAAAAGTATGGCCAACTGAGCTTTGGCCGTGCTCCTCCTTTAATTGTTTGCTAGTGTGAACTGATCATTCTATGACTTTGTCCAATCTTTGGCAAATTGGATGATAAAAATGGTCTATGGTCATACTTAATCTTATCTTTTCATGTCTCTCTTCTTGCAGAGGAACCAGTTGTAATAGTGACACATATGGCCATCCCACATTCCAATGATAAGTTGAACTGCCAGGCATATGGACATTACCCCAAGACCATCTCCATGACCTGGTACCATAACGAAGAGCAAGTACATGAAAACCTGGTGGAGAGAGTTACCTTACCCCTTCCTGACTTCACCTACCTCACCTGGCTACGGGCTGAACATCACCACAAACCATGATGATGTCTACACCTGTAATGTCACTCACAGCAGCCTGCATGAGTCACCACTACTGGTAGAATGGAGTAAGTTAAACTATGGACATATATAAAGAGAATTGTAAACTAAACAACCTCTACAAGAGTTTTTAGCTGTAACATAGTTTATATATATATATTCTTTATTACCATTTCCTTTTTCATGTTTCTTAAAAAGGCCCTATCAATAATTAAACAAAATGCTCAAAAATGCAAAGAAGAGTTAAAGTAACAATAATATTGGAGTGACGCTGAATGATATCCTTATTCTATAAAAATAATTAATGAACATCTACGTGATGGCCCTGTGATCTATTTTTCATGAAATTATTTCTTACCTCTAGGACCTTGTAACATCCTCCATGAGCTCTTGAGCCTTTCCTTTTTCCTCCCACTTCTGTTTGTTTGGAAGGAGCAGTATAGGACAGTTGCAGTCATGGGCATTGATCTACGCACAATATACATCCCAAAGTTCATAGCCCATCTCAGGAGTGGGTGGCTACACTCCTATATACAGTGGGACCACGGAGAACTAACGTGCTACCAGGGGCGGACTGACAACTCATGGGGGCCCCCGGGCAATAGGGGATCATGGGCCCCTGTGTCCTTGCCCAAACTCAAAATAGCCTATGAAAAAGGTACCAGGGGCATCTCATGGGGCCCCCTACTGACCCCAGGCCCTCGGGCAGTGCCCGAGTTTCCAAATGGTCAGTCCGCTCCTGGTAGCTACTCTCTAACAGCAAGTCAGATCAAAGCAGCAAGAAAAACAAAAAAAGCTGGCCAGGCTTGTACCAGTAAAGCACATACACTATGGCCCCTTTCACACGGGTGTTCTGTTTTTATCATCAGTTCAGTCACGTTTTTTCCAAGAACAAATGGATTAGTTCACATCTGTTTTTCATCAGTTTATGTAAGTTTTTCATCAGTTTACATCAGTTTTTCATCCGTTTTTCGTCCAGTTTTCATCCGTTTTTTCGTCCACTTTTCATCCGTTTTAGTCCAATTACATCTGTTTTTCACCCGGTTTTCATCCGTTTTTCATCTGTTTACATCCGTTTTCACCTGTTTACATCCATTTTTGTCCATTTACATCCATTTTTCGTACGGTTTTCATCTGTTTTTCATCTGTTTACATCGGTTTTCATCTGTTTACATCCATTTTTGTCCGTTTACATCCGTTTTTCTTCCGTTCCATTTTTTTTTAACAGAGGAAAAATAGGGTTTTCTTTCTTTAAAAAAAAATGGATGTTAACGGATGCGGACATTAACGGATGTAAACAGATGATGATCCGTTTACATCCGCTAGAATATAGAAATACATGGGTGTCCGTTTTTCATCCTTAAATGGACAGAAGAAAAGCAGACACATGGAACGTCCTTGTGAAAGGGGCCTTTATTGCCATAAGTATTGGGACTCCCCTCCAAATCATAGGATTCAGGTATTCCAATCACCTCCATGGCCACAGGTGTATAAAATCAAGCCCCTAGGCATGCAGACTGCTTCTACAAACATTTGTGAAGTTGCCACTAGAGATGAGCGAATCGAACTAGGCGAACCGGAATTCGAGTCGAATTTCAGGAAATATTCGATTCGCGTCGAAACCGAAATTTTGCCTACTTCGGGTGCGCGAATCGAAGATTTCCCGATCAGCCGGCAAAAGTGTCCCTGCAGTGAGCTCCGCTATTTCTGACAGTTCTCTGACAGAAGGAACACATGTTTAGCGGTTGAAACATTGTATCTATTAGTTTACATTTAGGATACAGATGTTTCAACCACTGTACATGTGAAGAAGCTGTGAGAGAACTGTCAGAAATAGAGGAACTCTGCACATACACTTTTTGCCGGCTTGGAATTATTCTTCTTTTCATCCTACTTCTTCATCCTCATCCTCAGAAGAAGAGGATGAGGATGAGGATGAGAAGATGAAGAAGAGAAGAAGAAGAAGAAGAAGTAGGATGAAAAGAAGAATAATTCCAAGCCGGCAAAAAGTGTATGTGCAGAGTTCCTCTATTTCTGACAGTTCTCTCACAGCTTCTTCACATGTACAGCGGTTGAAACATCTGTATCCTAAATGGAAACTAATAGATACAATTTGTATCTATTAGTTTCCATTTAGGATACAGATGTTTCAACCGCTGTACATGTGAAGAAGCTGTGAGAGAACTGTCAGAAATA